AGTTGAACTCGTAGGCAGATCTTTTCGCGCATCATTATCTTTTCTTGCTAACCCGATAAGTCGAGATATTAAACTTTGACTGGACGACTCATCAACTCCGGTGATAACAGATTCCTGGGAAGTTAGAATTACTGTATTTAAGTCGTTGTCGGCCCACTCAGCGAACAACTGGCGAGAAAATCCACAACTAAGATCGGAAAGTGATGAAAGAACAACCTGAAATAACAAGTAAAAATGAATAGCTTACTTTAGGCTCTGAAACAGCATCTAACTGTTCTAACGTGTGACACAACTGCATATGTCGGAAATGAAACGGATTACTTCGTTGATCCTCAAAAGATCGCATTACTTTTTCGGACATCCACTCAACCATTGACTTTGCAAAGTCCACAACATTTAAAGCCACATAATTTAGCATTGCCAATCCATAAGCCATTAGACCAGATTCCTAGCCAAAAAAAGAATGATTTAAGCAGTATAATAACAATAATAATTCATCCGATGAAAATTCAGAATCTCGTACAAACAGCAACACTTGCTTTAATAAATTCCTAGGCATAGCGATAGAAAACGTATTAGTAAAACCACAAGTTTCATGATTAGTGACTAAAACCATTAGTTTAAGCTCCAAAACCGACGAGCTGACGTGAATCAAATTAGCACGAAAATGGTTTGAACTAAACGATAAATCAGTGTACTTCTATTCAGGCCACACAAAGACACAAACCAAATTCTATGGGTTTCGAAGCTATTTTAAACCAGTCAATCTGTTGCGGTGAAAACGCTATTGACGGAAACTAATGCCTGATCAGACACTACCTCAAGCAAACGGATGCAACCAAATGAAAACAAAACGATCAATTGCAAGCTGTGATACGAAACAAGGCAGACTTAAAATGTATGCATCACGCAAGCACTGTACTTAGGGATAACTCACAACATTAATAAAGTGTGCTCTGCACACACAGTTTGTGTAGGAGGAAAGATGTAGCGAAATTAAACACGGTAGTTTATTAATCCGCAAGTGTAACGTGGGAGTGCAGTACAGATACTAGTCACTTTTGACATCAAAATGTGGAAAATAAATTAATTTGGCATACGATCAAGACAACTAGGTCAGAAACAAAATATTTTAAACCAAATATGTGATAGCCCCTAAAACTAGAACTAACCTGGTTTAACCAACATTGTTCTAAAAAATGGGCTACTTCAAGACACCTTCCAGCAGTATCCACGGCAATAAGTACATTTCCACCACGCCTTAAACTCTTCAAAATTGTCTGACGTAGATTTTCATCACGATCTTTTCTCCTAGGCTAAAAAACTAATCGAGAGTGAGAAAACATACCTGTGTGTATAAGGTGTTCGAACCATCCATAATTAGTAAGTGTGGTCGTATGCAAGCATCAAAGGTAGCTCCATTTAAGTGCCTCTCCTTCTTATGGTTAAAATCCAAAGCATAAACGATACTTGTGTCTTCCTTAACTAGTTTCCAAATTGTTCCTCCAAGTGTGTGACCTGTCAGAAAATAGTTTTTGTACAAGTAACATACCAGAAGGAAGTGGGGTTATACATAAACCATGGCCACGACCATGAAGACTGATTGTTTGCTGATACTTAACTTGATGCACATGATCGAATGCTAGATCAACATCATCTAACGTGTAGTGACTAAAGTTCTCAGAAGCATGTCTTGACTGGAAAAAGTCATACAAAAACATTTGCCCCATTTTGTAAACAGGAGTCGTGGCATACACCGGGCAGTTAAGTCCACATGTCCCAACAAGATATGGAAGCAACCCAAGGTGTCGTAAACTTTGATGGCTAAGAAGCACTGCATCAACATGTTTGGCCCATTTTGAAACCTCCTTCACATAGTCACTATCCAGTTTCTCACACCAACCACAGTCAAGAAGGCAGTGAAACTCATCTACCTGGAAAACATATATCATATGTTGTATTAATTCACCTGAAGTAAATAACAAGGTGAACCATTATCACCAGCCCCCGAAAGCGTGTGCAACTTGATTATAGAAGTTGCCATCCTAAAGGAAGAACGACCTTGAGTTCATATGCATCCGTCCTAAGGAATATTCAGTACCTAATCATTCAAATAAGTTTAAATGAACGATCCACTGTGTCTAATGAGAATGAATCGGCGGTATCTCCAGACAAGAACCAAAATACATACAACGAACAGGTATAAAAATGTTCTAAATAGGCATGAAATTCCGTCCCGTGTTCTTAAAGTTATATCGAGTTTAATCGTGAAAAACTTGTGGTAAAAATAAATCCTCGAAATCAGTGAATCTGTGATTCTTCTACATCCTATGCTGACTACATTATTTTCGCCAGACATACCTAGGTGAAGGTGCTCGGGTATGCTGTGCTAAACAACCCTGGCAACAGCTAACGAGCTTAAATAAATGCTTCTCGACATGTCGACAACCTTCCAAATATACCGTCGAATTCCTACACTCCTGATTTCTAATTTTACTAGGTTGGTATAATTTGATTATAAAGGTGTCACGTGTAGCTTCTTGTAACTCCCGGATTGCCAAGATTACTTGACGACCACTAGAACTTAGGAAAAAAGCTTACAGTCCAGTTTGTCACACTCTTCCGCGGTTTGCATAGAAAATCACATTCTGATGCCAGAGTCCTCTCAAAGGCTTGGGCTCATCAAAAAAGTAATGTTTCACAAGATATTTTCTGAAGAGCATCTATACAAAGTATATAAGGCAGAATCCTTGTGAATCTTTAATGGTATTTACTTGAAGCCGGACATGTAACTACTGATATTTACGTTTAGAAGGTAAAACTTGAAGTCCGAAAATGGTGAACGCGGGAACAATTGCACGGTATGGTTTTGGCTCAGTCTTTCAGGCACGGCCATTCTGTGTAGCTTATCCCTAATCATGTTAAATAATCACTCTGCATCCGACACAAATCCGTTCTTAAGAAGCGCTAAACATCGTATTGCTGACTGTCACGTAGGATGATTCAGAGCAGAGAATGGTATGAATCGCATGTAATATTTTACAGTCACGTCATGACAAGTCTACAATTTTGGGATTATGTCTCTTATTATAGTAACAAAGACAAATGTACTAATACCAAATTAGACCATATTTATCCAAATCCATGCAATGGAATTTGTAAATTTCAGATAGTCGCATGTGTCATCATCATTATTTGAAGGTTGTCAGGAAGAATTTACTGGTCTGCAATTTTAATTGTCAACCTCTCTCGAAGATGTGAGTAATGCATATCAACTACTCTGTGCCAAACACCACTCCTTGTATTACGGTATGCGAGAACAATGCACTAAGGAACGTTGCGAGAAGTGAAGAAGTTTCTGGAGATTGCACAGGTATTCAGTGTTTGACAACGCTTTTACCAGTAACACCTTTTAATATAACTCCTACCCACCAACAGAAATAAATGACAGAATCGAGGAGATCAGAAGTTGTATTTGACGATTGTCAATATATCGGAATCGTCTGGTCTAGTCTGGCTAGCGATTGCACTAGATGTTGAGCACGGAGTTCCCACATGTGATCTGTGCGGATGCATGACCGAGCGCCTTCACTTAGGTGAGTTCACCAAACCATCTGGTCAGCATCCAATGTCGTAAACCTACAGAGCTATTTATTTTGGGGATTCATTTACCACCACACTTCTTTCAGTACATCGGAGTGGATCTCACTGGAGCCAGATGTAACCCTATAGTGCAGAAATTTTATGCAGTGCAACAATTCAGTGCCCCGATAGGCAAGACTAAAAATTATGAACTACCGTTGAGCGACGCTGGAGTGACCCTGAGAAAATTTCTCTACCCCTGGACTCAGTAGCTAAGTGGATAATTCTTCACTTTCCAAGGGGCGAGTAGACGATTTGAGCATGGACTCACGAAACCAAAAATAGTAAGTCCAGGATATCGAAAGGAAATTCATTCATCTATACGAATAATTAGGGTTTTGAATTTATAGATTGAAATCATGAGTCAGTTGAAGCTAGACCACCATTGAAAACCTGGAAGCACTGGACGGCCGTTTCGTCCTGGTATGGGACTCCTCAGCAGTGCGCATCCACGATCCCGCACCCCGCGGGATTCGAACCCAGGACCTACTGGCTTCGCGCGCGAACACTTAACCATTAGACCACTGAGCTGGCATCCAACGGTGTTAATGTCTAACTTCAACCAATCCACGAAGTTGCGCCACCGTACACCATTGTCTTCAGTGAGTTCCTATCTCACAACAGACCTGGTTGAACTCCACTGGTAACGGCTTCTCACTAGAACTTCGGGAGTTTTTCTTGAAGTCAGTCACTAGTGAGCAGTTGATTATTATTATCAGAATGGGTTTTGTGGAGATTTTAGAAATTTCACAGATTGAAATCATGAGTCAGTTGAAGCTAGACCATTTATAGCTGATATCAGTTAGTGAGGGGAAACATTTATCATAGTTTTCAACCTTAACTTTTATCCTCACTTGGTATCGTTTACTTGAAACTTCCCATTGGTGTTTGATCAGTCATTACACAGATAGTACGCACAGTATGCACATATCCCAATAACATTGGTGATCTTCACAACGGTGATACTGGTTAAGTCATTTCACAGAATATTGTTGGCTTTTTAACTAAAATGGTCTAGAAAGTGTTCATCATCAAAATATGAATTCTTATCCTCATATTTTTAAAATTTATTTAAGATGGCTGTAGCGGTATACAAATACCTTAAATCAGTATGTCTGAGTCTTTGACATTTAATGCAAACTGCACTAGTTTTACTGAACTGACTTGGATGAATGTGGCCGGTCACATAAACGCACCAAATCACCAGTAAGCCCGCTGCACAACACATACCTTTCAACCACAAGCCAGCTCAGACCGAATTCGCGACTATAAATTTGAAGCTATCAAAAGAATAAGTCATGAAATAATAAAAAATAAGCTGATATGTGTTATCCTGACACTTTGCATAGCTATTGCATTAAAAAGCGGGAATGACAAACAAAGCGCTCTTTATAAGCAGTGCGCTACGTACATAATGGACATCTCCGAAACCAATCAGCTGTAGGTTTTTAGAATTCGTAACTGTAAGTTCGAATGTTACTTAGTCACAATTGAGGCTTACTTATTTGTTGCATAACACGTATTTCACAGGATTTCGTGTTCTACAGACCAAATTGTTATTAACTTGATAGTGCACAAATTACCGACCTTTTTAGATTTTTATAATTTCATACTATTTGTGAAATATACGTAGAATAAGCTTCACATGCAAAGCTTGGTCAGGATGGCTTATGACCATATTTTTACACAGTTATATATATATGTTTCCTAAAGATCCTGTCACCGGCTAAAGGTGTCCAGTCATGGAACAACTTGTTCTAAAGAAGCAATAGGTATAAATATTGAACGGCTTCAACATAGATAATACATCGATGCATTTAAATTGATATGGGTTCCATCACTAAATGGAGTCCAAGAGCTGTTGTCCTATATCTCATTTGTTCGCCCATAAATTATAGTCTCACCTCAAAATTTTATAAATATTCAATTAATGAATGAAGAGAAACAGCAAATAAAGAAAATACACTACAATAGATCTTGTTGGTTTAAAACAGTGCGCTTTGCTTTTTTTGAAGAATTACATGAAAAACCCAACAGAATCGTCACTAGCATCCGTTTCTCAAACCATATCGGACAACGTTTGAAGTCAGTGAGTTGCATGACATGTATACACACTCTTAGGGAATGTCTTATACATAAACGTCTTCAATCTCTCGCAATCAATTTCGACAGCTTACAGCAAAAATTGAGTTAAAGTATGGGATCCTACCCGTCTCGAAAAAATACTTCTAAGTTTAAAAATGCTGACAAATAAACGGACATCAACGTAGAGCATGAAACATGTGCGTTAACTCAAGTTTCCATACCACATTAGCACGAAGAAATTTTCCTAGATAAGTTGCAGAGGTCAAAATTATGTAGTAGCGTTGATAATAATAACATTTAGAGTATGCCTCGTAAGGACATGCACGAATACAGGAATGTGAGGTGGAAAGATTAAGAGAGAATGCGTCTGTGCCATTTTCAATGATTCCAAGCCCCATCACCTGAAATCTCCAATCACTGATCGCGGTTATCACTTGGAACTCAACCGTACAGTCTGCATCTGCCAACAGCTCATGACCTTATGCAGTGATCCCATGTCTTGGTTCGGTTCTCCCCGGCTGTTTCCAAGATACTACACCAACAGACACGATCCACCAAGATAGGTGATAGTTTGGCGTACATAGTACATCCTAACTATCTCAATTGATGAAGATTTACAACCTCCAAATGGTTTTATACTTGAAAAACACATTTCCTACTTATAGGTACTAATTTCTGACTAATTAAGTGCAATTTGGGCTGTCTGTCACTGTATAGTAGGACAATATCCTCCACAAACCCCTCGGGAACTCTAGCGACGATCAGCCATTTAGTGAGGATGCAAAAAGGTAAATAACGCCCGCTTCAAGGATCCTTCCATTTACACTACCCTTTTCGCAATCATTTTCTTGGATGTGTTAAATTAGCTGTTATTAGCTATCTGATTCGACTTCTGATTTGTGGCAACAAGGTTCGATAGTTCTTGTACAAGATTTGTGAGATTCTGTGTAGCGTCTCTATTTATTTATTTATTATTTATTTGAACACATGGATATTGGTACAAGGGGGCACCAGATACATATGCGCCACATTTGATTTGTGTGAGGCCTGTGATACTGCCCGGGTGCCAAAACCGAAGCAGGTGGTTTTCTTAGGGAGCCACACCCGGAACCTTCGACCTTAAGGTCTGATCCACAAGTCAGAAGAGCAACGTTAGTAGATGCAGTCCCATGGTAGCCGGTGACCAATAATTGGTTCACACGCCATTTGTCCCCTCAGTATACTGGAGCCAATGTGCACCATTGGCTTGAAATCAGGGTTTCCCAACTCCCCTGAATGAATCCCCCGTGTCCTCAAACCCAGTTTAAGCATTGAACGTTCGCTTTTCGTCCTCTCGATTCTGAAAACAACACCCCTGCCACGAGAAGGCAGTGAGTCGAACTTCCCTGGCAGAGGCTATACACACGTAGCCATGTGAGAGCATTTCGAGAGGGAGAGCGGACTCTCGGCCATACCAGGGCATTTGGGGCTGTGTGGCGTCTTACTTGGGATCCACCAGGGTAGATTGACACACATCAAAAATTCGTTGGCAGCTTGGTAAATCCAATGTTTAAAGGCAGGTAAAACCCATAAATGGTTTCCCTCGTCATATTTGTGTTGTGTTGTAAGTACAATCAATGTTCATGTACATCTCTCAGTGAACTACAGTTAACTTGTAAACAATCTCGACTTGATACTTTTTTCAAGTGATAGATACATCTGGTTTGCTGATGTCGATCCGTTTATGATGATGAGTGTATTAACCAGTAAAGTTCAAGATGAGCGTAGCATATATCCATGTATAATCAGTATTCAAAAAGGTGCTTCGAAAGGATGACAGTCTTGTTCACGTCTGCGTCATTAATAGTCAATAAAAATATGATTATTGTGAGTTCAGTCTTACGTTACAGAAAGAAGACTATAGGAATCTCATTGGTGATAGCTGTTTTGAAAGTTGTTAATCACCAGAAATAGGTTGTAATCTGCAATAGACAGTCCCTTTCATTCCATCTGCTACCAACAAGTCCTCACTGAAGACCCAAATACGTTCCCAAACAGCACCACAATATCTGTCAAATGTCCTGTTCGTAAACAGTCGTTCAACTAGTGGTTAAATTAATCATTTTATATCTAGGCTTCAATCCGTCAACGTGTGTGAAGAGAGTAAAGAAATGGATTTTTCTCGAGCGAGTTTCCTAGTTGAAAAAGGGAAAATGGAAGCAATTCACTTAGCTGAAATAAAATTTTCCCGTTTGTATTGTTAACTGAACTATATCTCCTATTACGTTCTGATCTTGTTCAATTATTTCCTTAACTTGCTTCTCATCAAGTGTACTATTTCCTCCTCACAGTGTTATCCCCATATTTTGTGTGACTCATTCTATTTTAAGTGCCTAGTTGTCCCAAATATTATGCGTTTGAATGCTAATACTAATACTAATAATATTAGTTGAACCTTTTAGGCTAAAAGCACATAAACGACTGGTAAAATGCATCTAATCGATTTGTTCTGCATTAACCTTATTTTGTGGAGTTGATTTATTTTGCTTTAATAATATGGTCAGGAAAACCAGTTATATCCAACACTTAAAAATAATGATTACTTGTTATTTTTAAGTTATAGATTTCATCCTTCATCTTAACCAAAGCATCTCCAACTACTGGTTGATTATCTTCGTTGTTGTCTACATTTGTGTGCCTTCATATACAATGGATGAAGATGTATGTTCCAGTAAAAGCGAAGTAGATATGACGTGTAGTGCAGAGTTTGATGCGGAACCGTTTATTGATAATGATGCACTTATGACCACTGGAGCAGTTGATCGTATACTGAAAGAGTCCGAATCACTCAAATCAACTCAACTTAAAGTAGTTAAGTTTTCTGTAAAGCATTAGCGTAGGTTGTTGGAAATGTTGCGCAATCATCAGAAAGTCTACTTAGTGAGGATAGCAGCAATACGAAATCTTCAACTAAGCAGGCTACTTGTTCAACTCCGGAAGATCCTTGCTGGACAAATGACTTGCTGCACGTTTTTGTTCTTAGCGAGGCTGGAAAACCCATATATTCACGGTATGGAAACGAAAGTGATCTGTCCTCCGTAATGAGCGTCATGCAAGCTCTTGTTTCCTTCGTTGCGAATTCTGGAGATGAGCTTCAGTTAATCAATACAACTGACAAAAAGTTCTTGTTCGTTTCTCGGTCGCATCTTATATTAGTGGCATTTAGTCCAGTTTCTGAACCCACTCCACATCTGCTAACCTGCCTCGAATATGTATATAACCAGGTTTGTTATGTTGTCTTTTATTTTGCACTAATTTTTCACTTCACAAAAGTCCCACTTGTTAAAAATGTTGTACTTGTGGAGTAGATTTTAAAATATAACCAATTTCGACCATTCGCATTGGAACTTATCTGAGGAGAAAACTCCTAGTTCTAGTCATCAGGTGATATTTTGCAGTTTAGATGTGGTCACCACTTATTTGGATAGCTGGACAAAATAATTTAATCAAGACCCTTAATCGGTCGTGCTATATGTCAAATAAAGATTTACCCCAGTGCCTAGCTGGAAAAGATCTTAGGTACAACTCAACAATTTCTGTGTCAGTCAGTCAGTCAGTAACAACGTAGAAGTTCGTACGTACGTACGTCAGTTCGAGTTGCCACACCACATTAGCACAGAGATTCAGTTGTCGATTCAAATCCCGTAGTGGTAGAGGTAGCAAGAGTATAAGCAGTAATCAGGAAAATTAGTGTTTGGAGATATTATTTAAAGAGTATAATACAGTGAAATAAATTTGGGAAGAGAAAAAAAGAGACAAGGAGGAATCAGGAGATTAGAATTTGGAAGAACACAAAGAGTGTATGCACCTGCGTCATTGCAAACGATTTTGGGCCATGTCATTCAGGGTCTCTAACCATCGGTTGCTATCATCTCGCGGTCCCCAACCAGGTTGTCTACACCTACCAGCATGACTCAGTCCACTTGTCAGTGACTTCATAAACTTGTGCCATTGTTTTGGTTTGGCCGCATCTAGCTTTCTTCCAAACTACTCCTATACCAATGAACATAGCACGTCGAGGTAGTCGGTCGTTGGGCATACGTAACACGTGTCCCAGCCATCTCAACTGATGAAGTTTCACTACTTCATCAATTGATTTGCCATCCTTACCTAGTACCCGTTTCCTAACAACTGCATTACTTACTCGATGGTCCCAGGATATCCGAGCAATGTTTCGAAGACACCTGTGATCGAATACTAGTGACCTACGAATATCCTCTACTCTTACCGGCCATGTTTCACTGCCATAAAGTAAGACGGGACGAACTGCTGCGCAGTAAACATGTCCTTTGGTTGATAGACGGATATCTCGCCTACGCCATAAATCACGCAAGTTGGCAAAGGCTAGTCGAGCCTTCTGTATCCGTGCTGAGATTTCGTCACACACCAGACCACAAGGGCTGATGAGACTTCCAAGATAAGTGAAGCGATCGACACGCTCAATTGCATTGTTACTTACGGTGGTCAGAAGACTGCATTTTGTCAGCGTCTCCACTTGTTAGCGGGACATAGACTAGATTAAAGCATGCTCAATGCATGATTGCTTTGGTGCACGCTGATTGGCTAATTTTTATCCAATCAGCACTAGTCGATAGTTGGAGAATACTCTGGAATCTTCTTATGTAAAAACTGTAAATATACTGACGTTTTTCCCTATTGTGCTTCTGACTTGCTATTTGGAATATAATCTCTTTCCTGTTCAACCGTGTTCTGATTTGGGGACTTGTCGAGTGAATCGGTGTCCAAGAATACTAAGCAATAGGAATAGCTGGGTCATTAACCGTAAGAAGAAAACTGAGATTATAACACCACTAAATAAAACTATGTCATCAGCATATTCTAAGTCAACAAGTGAACCTCCCGGTAGAAGTTCAACCCCTGGAAATTTAGATGAGGAGAGTGTTATCTCTAAAAGCACGTCAACGACAAAGATGAACAAGAATGGAGACAGTGGACAGCCCTGACGAACACCACTTGAGATAATCAATTCTGGTGACAGTTCGCCATAAGCTCTCACTCTACCAGTTGTGTTCGAGTAGAGAGCGTTTATAAGGTTAATGTACTTCTTTGGTACTCCTTTCAGTGACAAACACTGCCATAGAACCTTACGATCAACAGAGTCGAATGCTGCCTTAAGGTCGAGAAATACTACCATTATGGGGCGTCTGAATGTGTGTCTGTGTTCTAGAACCTGACGTAGTGTGAATATCTGGTCTATACAACCACGTCCAGGTCGAAAACCAGTCTAATTTTCTCTAGTCCGTTCTTCACGAGCTTTGATTAGGCATCGAAGTATTATTGAAGCTAACATTTTAGACACTATATTAGTCAAACTGGTTCCTCTATGATTGTCACAAGATGACTTTTGTCCTTTCTTATAGACTGACACAATCAGTGATTGAGACCAGTCAGATGGGATTACGTCCAGTTCTCAAATTCTACCTAAGACCTCAGTCACTCTCACTGCTAATACTGGACCACCATCCTTAAAAATCTCAGGAGTAAACCTGTCAGGACCTGCTGCTCTCCCTCGCTTCACATTTCCTATAGCTTTTTCAACTTCGTAAAGAGTCGGAGGACCTACGTTAATTTGCCATTCACCCTATAGATCACTTCGAACTGAAGGATCGTCACCATTGAATAAACGTTTTTAGTATAGTGTTTTACCGTAAAGAATCTATAATGCATTCATTACTATCTAATACTAATTATGTCGTATGCTTTTGGACTGTTTTAGATATAATGCCCGTCAAATACAAGTATATTCCTATCAATATCTGTTATTATAAATATCTGTACCCTATTTATTATAGTTAACAATGTAAGCTGACTAGGGAATGTATCCTCTTTTGGGAAGAGTGAGATATTAGTTTTAGTCTGAATTCTATGCCCGTAAGGGTTTAAAGGGTAACACAGCATTTTATAAAATGATAGAATCCTTTAATCCTAGGTTAAGATCTATCAAGTTATGTGAATAGCTTCAATTTGAATATCATCATAAAAAGGAAGTTGTCTTCAAAACCTATAAAGTGTGTTTGGTTTATATTAATTTTTGCAGAGCAATTACACACCATCAATCGATAAAGTCGGTATCTGAATGCTATTATATGGTTTTGTCAAAATTCTAGATAATAAGCTCGTTAACTTTGCAAAGAGTGGAGAAACAATTTACAAGGCATGCTAATTTGGATTTACGCAAACTCCTTGTTGGGGATGATCGACTTTTATCTTCTATCATAAATCGCGTAGAAGAGACTTTTGGGGTATTTTTGAATGCAATCAGCTGTACACCACTTCCAGAAAATAGCAGAGCTGCAATTTCACAGATTATTTGTCAAAATGCCAAATTACGTGTGAGTTAGTTTTGTTGAATATATACTTTACAGATTTTGCAAGCAAGTTTTATTTATTATCTAAACATGAATATTGGTACAAAGATGCCCTAAAGTAAATACGCACCACATAATGAGAAAACTAGATTGTAAAGAGTTAGAAAAACTGAAATGAGTATGGTAAAAAACAACAACTGAATAAGAGTAATAATAGAAACAACCTGATTAAAATAACGCAGTCAAAAAGAATTATTGAGGATAAAAATGTTCCTCTCACCTTTTACGAAGAAAGTAAAAGGAAATCATAGCTGGATGGTCAATGGCTTCTGTTGTGAGCCATGTCTGACAACCTTTTAAGCCACGGTTGCTCCATCTCCAGCACATCAATCAGAGAGCTGTGAAGGACTGAGAGGTGCTAGTCGTGTACGGTCCCTTTCGTACCACGGGAATGTGTCATCAGACGAACACCACTGTTTTCAACTAGTCTTGGCGTCAGCAAATAATCAACAATGTTGAGTTGTCTGGGACGACATTCGTAAGATATGTTTGAGCCACAGGTGTTTTAAGATAGTAACATCAAGTAAATTATCGTCGTTGTGCCCGAACGTGCGTTGCCGAACCCTCCTATTACCAACATGGTGTTGGCACCGGATGTTAGTAATAATTCAAAGATAACGACAATCGAACACAGAGAGCCACTTAACACCCTCATAGAGCATAGAACGAAACTGCTCTCAACTTCGTATTATATATCCGACCTTCCACATTCAGATTAACATCACAAGGGCGCTAAAGATGGTCCACATTGGCATAGGCCTCTATGGCTTTCACTACCTAGAATTAATCTCATCTTTCTCGCTACTCCTTGCATTTGCACAGCGACCGGAATACTAGAACTTTTGAACTACTTCTGACTACTTGCTACCACGAGTGATTACAGTCTTGTAAAAGTACTTTGCAATTAGAATGTACAAGGCACATGTCATACCTACTGGCACTGATCATTATGTTCTGTTAGTCTGCGTCGAGTTTTCTTGTTTGGGTGACTGAAACACTGTCACAGGAATTCAGCATAAACCAGCTGTAAAATACTCTTATTTGCTGTGGAGTCAGTCACATAACGGAGGATTAGTAACTCATACTTCATATTGTCTAATTGATGTAGGTACTGATCAGATACTTTTGTTCTGCGTATTAAGATCCACCCGTAATATAACCAATAATATCAAACAATGAAGACAGAAACTATAGTAAAATACTAACGTTCTTCTTTACAAAATCGTTGTTAGTTCGAGTAAAAGAGACTAAAGTTATTAAAAATATTGTAAGTTGCGAATTTTTAAAACAAACTTTTATGTGTTATTCTTTTTCCCATGGTATGCTACTGTAATACGATAGCTTTCTCCAGTTCATATTGAAACTGGAAGTTCAACTTATCAGCTATTGAAGGTAAATTAATTTTTGTTAGTTCACCTACCAGAGCCCCTAAAATGAATATTTTAAGTCTGTTAGTTTAAATCCTGTCGTTAATTGAGTTCAATTTCACGCATTACTTCTGCATAATTTCGGAGTTTCTAAGCTAAAAATCATTCTAGATAGCCTGATTGTAAATAAATATTTCAGAAAGTTTAATATGGGAAGTCAAGCATACATTATTCTCTCTTATCATAAAAGGGTCATTCGACGTTAATTTATTTGATTTTGTTATCATGATCTAAACTTTAGGGTTTGGTGTTCGGTATATTATTTCACAAAGACGATATTGTTAGCATTGTACGCATGAAGAACCAACAACTTTCCCCATCAGATATTCATTTACTTCTAAATCTAATTGGAAGTTCACAGTCTTTCAAATCGGCACAGTCTCATTGGTTACCGATCTGTCTGCCTAAATTCGATGCTAAGTAAGTATAAAAATCATGATACAGTTATGAAAGTAGTCAGAGGGAATAAGTCGATATTCTGTTTTCAATTTATGAAATCAAAATTTATCTAGTTTTTGGTTTTCTTTGAATAATCTTTTGCTTGAAGGCTTTTAGTATTCCTGTATTTCCGTTGGATTCACTATGATCACAAAGTAAACAATGTTGAAGTTAAGTACAAAGTTCTAAACATTTACGGCAAATTAACTGATGTTTTGAAACTGTACTGACTGAATTGTCCCAGTTATGTGTTTTGCATGGTATGGCATATTCTATTTCAACCTATAATATTGGTTGAAATAGGGTTAAGTTGGAAAGTAGCTGAAGATAAGCCATATTTACGTATGGTATCATCCCATGTTATCACTGAATATAGGGTTTTTTGAAGAGTAATGGTGATGCAACCATTCGGAATTCCGGGTACAGTCGTAGGAATGCCACAAAACAGTGTTTGGATACACTTAGTAACATTTTGCAAGTCTGTCAGATAGATGTTTTGTGTATACCGTTCTGAATCTCAAAGTTTCTTTTATTATCTATCGCCCGTCTTACCGTTATTGCTTTTATGGATTTATGGATTTATTATTTTTAAAAATCTAAATGTACCAACCTGAACCCATGTGTTTATGCAGAGATGTACATAAATATGTTTATTTTTATCTGTCCGTACTACATTGTATGAAGGGTCCATGGTAATTTATAATATTGTATAACTATACGCAAAATATTCTTACTACTCATTCTCTTCACCTTTTCACATCATGAACCGATATCAGCCGAAAGGTCACTGAAAACCAGGAGGTATAGACACATCATCTTATGTTGGAGCTTCTCAGCAATACTCACTCATGATTCTATAGAAAGCTCAATCCCAAGATCTTAAGGTTGCATGTCGAGGACAATAATTCTAAACTAGAGGGTCGAGATACAATAATATGTTACTTCAACCAATACGCGATACAAAATTACTATCTAACTTTTACTGCATTGATTTTAAATTATTGGTACTTTATATAGTTTTTTTCCTTGTGGTTTTTATCTTAACTGTAGCGGGTTTCTATATGCCAGTGTTACTTATCTTAATGATACAACATGTATGGTCTTGCTTACTGTTGATAGTGAAAAATTTTATCCACTCAAGTCAATTACCGAAAAAGTATTCACAGTAAGTTTCCTCATGTATGTTAAACTAAGTATAAAAGTAATTTGTTACATAATCCAGTCATGGAGGAGTCCCATACTAGTACGAAACGGCCGTCCTGTGCTTCCAGGTTTCCAAAGGTGGTATAACATCAATCGGTTCATGATCTCAATCAAAAAAATAATAATTTTATCAGTTCACCTATATGCTCTGAAATGTTAACATTATTATAAAGATGAATATGTTAAAGCTTATATTTATTTGCCTCTATTTTTAATTAACTTAACGTGATGATAACTTGTAAATGAATTTACTTTTGCGTGCACCTTTTATTGTTTTGATTTCTTCGCTAAATTACAACGGCTTTTTACTTTCTTCTCAATCCTTGGTGGTTAGTATTAAACTAAAGCTGAATTGAAAGTTACCCTATTTAGGGAGTATTTTGATTTAGTTGCATTGAAACACCATCCACCTAGCTCATAATAACAGTGTTTTGTTTTCTGGAAATGACCATAATATATTACCGTTCTAAGTGAATTTTCCTGACTCTTTTTAGTATATAAATTCAGCTAAAAAGGAATAATAATTGCTTCGGAAATTTTAGTGTCAAGTCTACATTCAGAGTAATCATCTTTACTCAACCATCTCTCACAAAGTAGCTTTGGTTTGCCGTTTTCCATTTCATAAACACGCACATAGCTATCCAGTCCTTTATTTTTCTGTCACTATGTATATACTGCTCCCTCATAACTCTACCTGTAGCCCTTCTAGGGTTATTGTTGGTCTCGAACTCGGGTTGAGGAAAAGTGCTGGGCATGGGATCAACAACCATGACCCGTAAAAAACAAATTTCTTAAAGGGGTGCTCACCAGATAAAACAAATTCAATCATTTAGACTGCCCTCCGAGTTAAAGGATCTTCATTTAAGAGAAATATGACTCATGGTGGAAGCTGAGATTCTTCTGAAGTCACGAGGCCGATGCCTCTTCTAACAACCAGATCAACAATTAATATAGGTACATGGAATGTCCGGACAATGCGAGAAGTCAGGAAGATCAATCAACTAGCTGCGGAAACTAGAAGATACAACCTGTCGGTTATCGGAATAAGTGAAACCCATTAAGAGCAGTGTAGATTACAAGGATCAGTTTTATGAGGCTGTGACCAAAGAAAGGACCTAACCATCTTGATGGAAGATCCAAACTCCAAAGTCTGAGTGGGCAACACTAGGTATGAAGATATCATGGGACAACATGAACTGGCACAAGGGAACGAAAATGGTGACAGATTTTCAAATTTACGTGCATTGAACAAAATTGTTATAAGCAGCATAATATTCCCTCACAAACACATACAAAGGTTACATGGGTCTCACTAGATCACACCAGATAGGTCATATTCGCGTCAGTAAAAATTCAGAAGGTCAGTGGAAGACTTGAGAACCAGGAGAGGAGCTGACGTAACTTCAGATCACCACCTGATACTTGATTAGATGTAACTGAAGCAAAAGAAGCGCTGGACATACAGCATTACAAAGATTCAATACAGCCTTCCTTCAACATAATGACAAATTCAACGAATTCAAGTTAGCTTTCAACAACAGGTTCCAAGTCCTACATGATCTACTCAAAAAGAAACTACTATGGAGTACAACTGAAAAGGTATCAAAGAAGCAATAACTTCAACGTGTCAGGAGGTTCTGGGCCGCGAGAAACATCATAATGAATGAGTATACACTGCAAAGTGGTACGTGGAGGACAGCTGACACACGTATTACAAGTGAGGACCGGAGTCAGACAAGTCTGCCTTCTCTATTCCTTCTAGTGGTCGACTGAATTATGAAAACCTCCACTTCTTGGGATACAGTGAACAGCTTTTATGCTGCTAGACGATTCGGATTTCACAGATGACCTAGTTCTTCTATCACATGCACACGATCAAATGCAGGTGAATACAACCAGTGTAGCAGCAGCCTCTGCATCAGTAGGCCTCAACATACACAATGTTAAAAGCAAGATCCTCAATTACAACACGGGGAACACCAACCCAATAACACTTGATGGAGAAACGTTGAAAGAGGAGGACACTTTCGCGTACCTGGTCAGCATCATCGATGAACAAGGAAGATCAGATGCAGATATAAAAGTAAGGATTGGCAAAGCAAAGACAACATCCCTACAGTCGAAGAACATATGAAACTCATAACGTTTGTCAACGAACAACAAGACCAGAATCTCGATGATTGGCCTATGCTCCTCTACGAGAGGTGACAGGCGTAAGTTAGTGTAAATTGACCATTTTATGTTGCTTGTCAAATCAAAAATATCTGATTTTATGTTTATTATCATCGTTTTATTACCAGCTATTAAATACTACAAATAATGGCGATCACTTATCTGCGATTATGTCTTCAAAATTTCCACAAATTTCTGATACTGGCATTAAGAATTTACGGCATTTTGTATATAAATCGATTCCAATCGGCCAATATATTGCCAGTGAATGGACTGTGCCATATGCTATCGCTTATGAATTATCTAAAGAATCTCCAGTTGGAATGGATCCCGAGAGAAAAACTAAACTTCTTAATGATAATATTGTAAATAAATTACGTCATAATGTTTTGTTATCGTATAAACGCCTTCATATGAGACTACATTCCTCTGCAATACCAACAAGATTCATTTACAAAGTGACAAGTACCGAATTATTTTTTGGCTGGGTTAGTTTAATAGTTTTAGGCTATTTTGTTTTACACATAGAACTCACAGGATGATGATTTAGTGTCATTGATTGACATTTGATCTACTTTATCCTTTTATTTTGAATAATTACATCCTAATATATTTGTTAATGAAGTGTTAATTTAACGATTTGCAGTGTTATCATTTGTGAATCTATAAAAAGCCTATAAATTTAAATAAATAAGTTATTTAGAAAGAAATTAGGTATAGGAACAAGCTATGTTGACGACTAAATACATTTGTCATATACGTGATATATGATACACATTCTTTCTATACACATGCCCAGCTAGTCAACGGAAAAACTGGAGAGTGAGAAGATAAGTTTATCTCTCTGAACCAAATAAAATGTATGTGTTTTACTTACTCAAGAAGCACCATCACAAGGAATGGATAATTGATACACTGGATGACTCAAGACAGGAGGAACAAGAAGGCAGCAATCAATGCCAGCCTAACAAGAGCAGAGAAAGCCAAGGCACAAGCTGAATACACAGAAGCAAACAACCAAGTGAAGAGGTGCACCACAACCGACAAACACAAATATGTGGAGGATTTGGCAATGACGGCGGAAAAGGCTGCACGAGAAGAAAACATGTGACTATTGTATGACGCAACAAAGAAAGTCGCTGGAAATTATCGTAAACCAGAACAACCAGTGAAAAGCAAGGAAGGCGAAGTAATCACCAACATTGAAGAACAGCGAAACAGGTGGGTAGAACACTTCAAAGAACTCTTGAATAGACCAGCTCCACTGAACCCACCCAACATCGAAGTAGTACCCACGGACCTCCCGATCGATGTTGGCCCACCAACAATTGAAGAAATCAGCATGGCCATGAGACAAATCAAGAGTGACAAAGCAGCAGGACCAGACAATATTCCATCAGAGGCACTGAGGGCAGACGTAGCGACAACTGCAAGGATACTCCACATTCTCTTCAATAAGATTTGGGAGGAGAAACAAGTACCAACAGACTGGAAAGAATGACTTCTGATCAAAATACCAAAGAAAGGCGATCTCAGCAGCTGTGATAACTACAGGGGCATCACTCTTCTCTCAATACCGAGAAAAGTCTTCAACAGGGTATTGTTATACAGAATGAAGGACTTCGTAGACGCCGAACTTCGTGACCGACAGGCAGGATTCCGTAGAGATAGATCGTGTACAGACCAAATCGCAGCTCTTCGGATCATTGTGGAACAATCAATTGAATGGAATTCATCACTCTACATCAACTTCATTGACTACGAAAAGGCATTTGATAGCGTGGACAGAACAACACCATGGAAGCTTCTTCGACACTACGGCGTGCCTCAGAAGATAGTCAATATCATACGGAATTCCTATGATGGATTAAACTGCAAAATCGTGTATGGAGGACAGTTGACAAAGTCGTTCGAAGTGAAGATCGGTGTTAGGCAAGGTTGCTTACTCTCACCCTTTCTCTTTCTCCTGGTGATCGACTGGATCATGAAGACGTCAACATCTGAGGGGAAACTCGGGATACAGTGAACATCTAGGATGCAGAGGGACGATCTAGACTTCGCAAATGATCTGGCTCTTCTATCGCACACGCAACAACAAATGCAGGAGAAGACGACCAGTGTAGCAGCAGCCTCAGAAGCATTAGGTCTCAATATACACAAAGGGAAAAGCAAGATTCTCCGATACAACATAGCATGCACCAATTCAATCACAATTGACGGACAAGACTTGGAAGATGTAAAAACCACAATTGATTGATCACTGGGTAGTGATCAATGTCATGCTTGTCTAGTCCTTATTAGTGCAGATCGAATGCTATCGATCATGTTGCAATGTGGCTACCAGTCTAGGTGACTCGGATAGCTCAGTGGTAACGTCTCTGACTGTGAAGCTGGGTGACACGAGATTGAATCCTCCAGGGAGCACCAGTTCCCTCAAGATTACAGGTACACCTTGCTGACGAGTGCTAAGTAGCACGAAACCTGGGTCCAGAGTTTCCTGTTGACTACCTCCAACCACCATCTAAATCTCGATGTAAAAACCTTTACATATCTGGGCAGCGTCATTGATGAACACGGTGGATCTGATGCAGATGTAAAGGCGCGGATCGGAAAAGCAAGAGCAGCATATCTACAACTAAAGAACACCTGGAACTAAAAATAATTGTCAAACAACACAAAAGTTAGAATTTTCAATACAAATGTCAAGACAGTTCTACTGTGTGGGGTGGAAACCTGGAGAACTACGAAAGGCATCATCCAGAAGATACAGGTGTTTATTAACAGTTGTGTACGCAAAATACTTCGGATCTGTTGGCCCGACACTATTAGCACCAACCTACTGTGGGAAAGAACAAACCAGATCCCAGTGAAGGAAGAAATCAGGAAGAAGCGCTGGGAGTGGATAGGACACACATGGAGGAAAGCACCCAACTGTGTCACAAGGCAAGCCCTCACATGGAATCCTGAAGGTCAAAGGAAAAGAGGAAGACTAAATAACACATTACGCCGGGAAATGAAGATAGACATGAGGAAAATAAACAAGAATTGGATGGAATTAGGAAAGGTCCAGGGCAGTGTGGGTTCGAGAATACTGGTCAGCGGCCTGTGCTCCATTGAGAGTAACAGGCGTAAGTAAGTAAGTAAGTTTTACTTACTATTTTTTTATTTACGCCTGTTACTCGCAATGGAGCATAGGCCGCCAAAACAAACAAAACCTATACTGAATAATTATCAACTTGAATTAAACGGAATTAATGTTAAATAAAAATCATAATGAATAAATCAATCTAATTTTGACTTTTCATTCCATCATAGCAATTAAATATGACAAATAGCTTCATCTTATTCAAGTTATATTTCTTAGATGTTTGTTGATTAACAAAGTGGTTGAAATAATATAAGATTTTTTTAAAAAAAGACTACGAGGTAGATGGAAGATGCTGAAGATAATTAAAATAAATTGAATAATGTAACTATTGTTAAACAAATCTCAAATTTACATATACTTTTTTTAAAATTATATTTCTTTTCTATAGAAAACGGATCATTTCGAATTATATGCCACATTAGAACCAATGATTACAATAACAGAATTAGGTGAAATTCGTAAACAATTATTAAAATGGATTGAATCAAAGAAAACACAATTTTTCATTTTATCATGTCCAACATTTTCATAATTTTTTATTTATTTATCCTACCAATACTACTTATTCATTTTTTACAATCAAAAATGTATCATGATATAGTTCATTTAATTATAAAATAATGTTATATATTGGATATTTATTTGAAACTAATTTGAAAAGATTAAATCATCTGAAAGCACTTAGAAGCTGTACAACATTAATTCTAAGTTGATAAGTTACATTGAAATATTACACTGAGTAATTAGATCGTTTAGCTTAATATCGATTGACAAATTATTAAGTTTATTTTTTGATTGAGATCATGAACCGATTTATGTTAGACCACCATTGAAAACTCGGAAGCACTGAACGACCGCTTTGTCCTGTTGTGGGACTCCTCAGCAGTGCGCATCCACGATCCCGCTTGTGGGATTCCAACCCAGGACCTTCAGTCTCGCGCGCGAACGCTTAACCTATTGGACCACTGAACCGTCATCCAATGGTGTTAATGTCTAACCTCAACCAATCCACTAAACGGCTGTCCAGTGCTTCTAGGTTTTCAATGGTGGTCTAACATCAATCGGTTTGTGATCTCAATAAAAAAAAAACTTAACAATCTGCACAACCCCTAAACTGATATTAAGTTTATATTAAGACTTATCAGTAAACTTTGTAATGATCTTAGGATTAAAATGTTTTCAAGTTAATTTTAATGTTTTTCACAATCTCTTTAATGAAACTTGTAATAAGATATTTAGATTTTATTCAATTTCAAATACGACATTTCAGCTCTAAAAAGCTAGAAACATTAATCCATAACATTAACTTACTGATTACTAAAAACCTAAGTATTATCTTTGTTTTATTCTATTTAAAAATTAATTTAATAGTGAATGTATACTGAATATTAATGGTGTCGTTAAAACTTCCTAATAATACTTAACAATTAATCTTTTATCGTCTCGAGTAGAAATTCATATCTATAGTCATATGCTTTATATTATCATAACAACAACAGTTCATTTAGCTAGTAAATATTTTTGTAATCTAATAAAGATAGTACTGAATTGATGCAAACTCTTTCATCAATCAAAAGATTTAATCATCATAGTTTCACAATTTACGAAAACAGTTAAATATTATGATACAGTATACAAGTGTGGACTGAGATTAAGATTTCTGTCAGAAAAAAAACATGTTCTTTCATAATTATCACAAAACTTAACAGTACACCAGAAATTTACGTAAAGTTTCATCATAACACTGAACTCTGGAAACTCAGACCATAGGGTAGGCTTAAAAATAATCAGAAACATTCAAAAGATGGTTCGTAACAGATTTCCCTTAAATCCAATAATAATATTAAGAATGTGATGCACTAGCTAACGTGGATTACATCGCCCTGATTCTTTTTTATTACCAACGAGTTAATCAACATCTATGGGAATTTATGCGTTGATATTTGTGTGCCAGCCTATACACTCAACATACTTCATAGGTGTATAACCTATCCACACATGTTATTGTGTCCTATTTTAAAGATATATTTTCTGCTTACTATATTTAATTTCCTGCATTAATGTTTTGTTACTTGCTACCTCCCTTAAAACCTTACATTTAGGAAATCAACTTTCACTATTAAAAAATTATATATTTTTGTATTACTTCGAATAATAAATAATATCACTTCTAAACTTAAAAGATGTACATTTGATCAACATGTCTTACATAAAATTCAAAGTTTTTACTGTCAATCCCATAAAATGAATAGAGGCACAATCGATTTCTTATCAAACTCATAAGATGCTTAACATGAATGTTGTGGCAAGCCCATTTGGCCACTGTATCATCTGTCTATTCATTGTAACTTAGACTCTTAATTCACTACGTTAATTTCGGTGTGTATTATCGAATGCATGTCTGTACATTAACTTTTAAACTATTTTCCTATTGGTTTCAACGTGCAGATAATCGATAATTTATCTACACCCGATTAACCCTCAAATATATATGGACTTTTAACAAACTCACACACTCACTCTGTTCCCATCGTGTGCTTGCTCACAATACGCTTGTGGATTATCATTATTCATTAATAATAAACTATCTCCATAACTGGTGTTCAGGCTTCTTAATAATCTCGAGTAAATCCGTAATTCTACTAGGAGATTAAGCCTACCTTAAATACTCAGTTACGGAATATTATTATTTGGAGTCAGATATTAAGGACATTACCCTTAACATATTGGTTAGCTGCCGCCTCAACAATGTAGTACATAGACAAATCTTGAAGTTCATTTTGTTGCAACACGATTATTAAGGTTGACTGGGATTAGAATGCTATGATTGTCTGTTTATTACTGTTTGTAAGGATTAGTTTGTGAATTACGAAAACAGGATGAACATTATGCTTCATATCATATTATCTTCACTGTTTTAAAGATTGTAGTTCTAGCTTCAGAAAAGTTACATAATAATAATGCCAACTGTTACAGATACATCAGTACCAAAATATCACAAACATCAATACTCATAATACCATCAAAAATTTACATTTACTAGTGATAATTAGCTCATATTCTCGGTAAATTAACACAATTTATTCTGATCAATTAAATTCTCTCAATAATGACTTATTACTAGTGGAGAATATTTCTAAGCTGTATTAGAAAAATAGCAAGTTCTCACTTATACCATTTAATATGTTTACACTTTCGATCGATATATCTTTAAATAGTACTGTGATTTTGTAAGTAACTAAAAATGATAAGCGTGTAGAAGACTGGGATAGTACTATGTGATTGTCACGTTGTTTTTGGGAATCGATTGTTGTTGCCAATCAATCCCGACTTACTAGCTCAATAGCAACCTACAATTCATGATTTCTGATTGTTTGTCCTCATAATTCGTTTATATTTTTGCTTAATAATATCCTTGCGCTGTAATTTTATTCTTACGTAGTCAACTTATAGGGCTTTTGGTGAATGGACGCCTCATTACTAGTATTTGTTAATTCTTCGCCTTCTACAGCTTTTTATAAAAGTTCTGTAATTTCAGAAACATTATGGCTTTCAATTTCGCAATTTTACACGTAGATATATCCTTAGGTAAGAATTCACAAACAGAATATGTAACCAGAAGCATTTACAAGAAAAATATATCTTTTGATCTTATTTATTCACTTAGTTTCAACAATAGTTAGTAAATTCATAAGGCATGTCCCCAAACACTAAAATTTTGCATCATATACCACTGAGTATATGGCCTTACTTACTTTTGGTAAAAACACACTGGGGTGTAATCTGGATACGAAATTAATTAAGGATAACTGAGTGCCTATCTAGTTGACTGTAGAAGTAATTAAACTTCAATAGTTTAATTTCTATTGAAACAAACAACTAACAGTCAAGTGGCCGTTTAGCTTATTGAAAATGGGCTTAAGTAGCAATATACACAGGTTATAAAAGTTGAATACTTGGATTTTTTGGAGTCTTAGACGTGTAAAAACTTACATCGCCTTATAATGCTCAGAAACAGCTTATACTCTGATGCTAGGTGGTTGATAGTCAGAAGGAGGCACTAGACACGAGTCTTGAGATAGCTTGCACTTGTTACAAAAGAGTATCGTAAATCGTATTACTTTATGTGATGTTCGAACATGCGTTACCCAGTTTCAGAGTCTGAGAATTTGCCAAACATAGGTTTGTGCAAGTCACAAGACATCAGAAATTCGATTTTTTCTGAGTTGAGATATAAACTGTGTCTATTCTTTGTCAACTTCATTGTAGCTGTGAGTTTAACACTGTTCTTTCTTCTAGAACATTGTTTCATAGCCTATTTTGCGAATACAGTACCTCAAGCAACGACCGTTAGCTTCACTAATACAAAGCATATATAGATGGCACTTTCATGACTTGCAATGTTAACAGTGCCCTCAATATCATCCTGAATTAGTTCATTAGTCGTCCTAAATCAATTAATTTTAGATTGGAATCAAGGCTGAATTCAGAATTTTACTTTCTGAAAAAAAACGACCAGATGGTACAGTACAAAGATAGATATATCGAAAACCAACTTGAAATGAACAATATACAAATTCTCAGAACTTGGTGCCATTAAACAAGGAAAGAAACCTTATTCCATTCTTATTATCAAAGGGTAGGCGAATATGTTCTGAAGATACGATAAATCAGGAACTATCCAAGCTTTAACAAATATTCATAAAAGTTGCCATCCATCGACATTTGTTGAGGGAAACATGTGAAGGTAAACTAAAATCTAAGACCTCCTATAGTTCCTGAAAGAACCCTATTCATGAACATCTAGTTCAAGGGGGATACTACTATAGAGCTTTGGAAAAACCGTCCAACGAAATCTTGGAGAAAAACTTGTATTCTGGTAAGCTTCGCATTGTTTTTTCCACCTATCATATCATTCGTGGATATGTAAAAAATAAAATACCTGATTGGCCACAATAATATGTATTTATAAGTTTACTTGCTCCTTTGGAGGCGGCTGCACTGAGCTAACAAAACAAACGCTTTCTAAACAAATCTCCAAACATTATCTTGTATGGCTTTCGAAAGACGAGTGTGAAACCAATCGTTCAATAACGGAATATCATGCGAACTTTGGTCACATGAAGTACTCTATCCGACAAGTCTTTCGAAATCATCTATAGAGTTAAACGTATTGGCCCGAAAAGAAGGCAAATTAATAACTTGTGCACTATAGAGACATTAGCAATTCATCCAAGCTGAACTCTGTATGTAAAGGAGACACGTGCAAGATTTCATTCTTACATTACCCTAGCAGCTAATTTTCATTCTTCAAATGTTCTAATCTTAATTTTAATCATTTGTTATATTCTCCAAATTTTTAACTCAGTATTCACCCTTCTCTACGAATACTTTCGTAAATTATTTAATTCTGGTGGTGTTTTGTTCTCCACCATCTTATTTAATTCTATTTATTATTATTTCCCATACTCTTGGTTCGTTTATTTTCCTTCACCCCCCTCCCACCTATTTTTCCCCCAAATATACGCTTCATTGTCCAATTATCTGAACACTTCTTATTAAGTAATCTCATGATTTTCGTGAATAGTATTTCAGCATCTATACTTTTAAAATCAGTGACCTAATTCC